ATTTCCCACTAATAGTATCAAAACCAAAGGAAAAGAGCCATGATTATAAATCAATAATAAAATTTTATTCATAAAGGTTTTAACACACTTGATACACACATTTATTGGGCATAAAATATATTAGTGTCAAACTATCCAGCAAAGCATTGACTACTGCAATCATCATCATGGTATAAATTTCATATAATACCATGGTCACAAAAATTGGTCTTTTTTATGGTCTATTTTTCAAAATTTACCCTATATTTTGGAAGTAACTAAAAACATGTATGTGGACAACTTGCAGTCCATTCGACCTTGTGGTCTAATTGTTTTAAAAATATTAACTCAAAATATACAAAATACTTAACATAGGTGAAAAGAAAAAATACTTATTCTTATAATAATTCATGATCAACACAAATTCATTTATAATAAATAAAGTTCAAACGATGCTATAACACAAGAAACAAATTAAAACTATTTGAAAATTAGTGATTGAGCTGAGTAAATGCTTTGAGTTTTTGTAACTATCATTAAAAATTGTATCAAAATTACATTATAAACCATTCTAAACAATAAGTAAGACTTGTAAAAACTATACATTATTATTACACTTGACACTTCAAACAAATTAGCTTAGGGTAGGGGTCCATGTTATCCCTCCTTTGAAATCCTACCAAGATCAAAATGATGAGTATCCCCACCAAAGCAAGGGTAAGKTGCTACAAAACAGATGCTGGATTTTGCTGGATGCCAGGTTCTAATGAAACCTTTGCAACATAGTTTTGTGGTCCCATTTAGTAAGATGGAAATGAGCCAGCAGAGTACGTATAATTTAATAGTAGATAAAACAATAAAATTCTACCCATCGGATAGTCTAGAATGGAGAAGAATAGAGGTCACCAATCAGACCACTAACTTTCTTATATCCAAGCTCCAATATGCATGGTTATATTAGCTGACATTATTTGTACTATCATTTTATACCCCACTTGATGCGTGGATTCTCACGTGCTTACCATGTCTCACACAGTTGAACAAAAAGAGAAATACTTTGAATTCCTTTATGCACAGATTGTATTAGGAATTATTTTTGCTAATTTTTGGACTAAAAATGTTGTAAAAAAAATTGTAAAACTGTTCATGAATAATTAGTGAGGAAAACACAATAAAGAGAGTTGCAATATTTGATACAAAACTGTCTTGATTTGCATATARGGCTACATAAACTTCAAATCTAATTTTCTCCAAATTCAATTTTATCTTTAAGTTTTTAGTAGATGAATGTTGTATACACCTAAACGTTTCACAAGTAATTTAATTACAACATTTGTGTCCGTGTTGTATGGATTGTAAAATCCAATACAACACGGACGCTCATGTTGTAAACATTACCTTAAGGTAACTAAGGAGTTCTATATCTGATATTTAGGCTGATGTTGACATTATAATTTCAATATCAAACCTTTCATCATAAGATATATAAATGAAACATTACACTTCAGATGTCCTGGAAATGAGTATAAGTTTTTGTATTGTAATTATTAATTCTAAATACTGACATACACAGGGTTACCATTCGATACTTTTTGCCATGGCAGTTTTGTATGTTGGACTGTTTTTGGAATAAAATTGCGAGTACCATCTACGATGTTTTCCAATGAGTTGGTCTTCCTTTATAAGAATTGGCTTTGATAAATATTTCTTGTGGTTCCACACCATAATATCCCGCTCAAACTGGAAAGCATATATAAGTATTAATGAACAAATCATGCAATAATGTTTATTTTTTTAATATTTTATGCAGAAATATGCAATATGCAGAAATTCTGATCTTTTTGATATATTGTATATTTTTGATATATTGTATATTATTGGAACACAAGTCAAAATGATCATAATTTCTGCATATAGCTGTATACTGTACTATTGTAGTATGTTTTAAATATACTAATTAAATGATGTTGTGTAGCTTATTTTATTATATATCAAACATCTTAATATAATTATAATTCTGAGCAAAATTACTTTAATGTTTATACCCTTATCATACCTGGATACTTTCTGCATATAACAAAAAATTGGCAATAATTGTAGGCATGTATCTTGAGGTATAAAGTCTGTGTTCTACTCTCTGAAGCAGTGGCTCTTCTGGAGTCACGGTGTGAAAGAAAATACCTTTACCAAACATTGATGTGTAATACATATAAACCAGACCAGGACCAGTCTRTACCAAACAAATAATATGCAATATATCATAAGGTTGAGATACAACAGTGGTAYTTGCCTTGGCTAGCCTCATGTAAACACAGGATGTAATTCAGGCTAGTCTTA